ATAGAAGACAACAAGGATTATGGGAGGAATAGTAATTTTATTACATACCTATTGAAATAAATTAACTCTTCTCATTTTTTATCAAATAATCTTTTAGTTTTTCTATCGCCTTGCTGCGATGAGAAATCTTGTTCTTTTCTTCCTTCGGCAGCTCCGCGTAGGTCTTATCGTAGCCCAGAGGTTGAAAACAAGGGTCCCAACCGAAATCCCTGGAACCTCGCGGACTCACAATAGTGCCCTGAGTTCGGCCTTGAAATAGGTGGACCTCCGAGCCTTCGCCGGAGCAGTAACCGAACGTGCAAACCGCTTCCGCCGATTTGTCCTCAAATCCGTGGAGCATCTTGTGAAGTCCTTCGGGGCCCAGTGCCTCGAGGAACCACTTGATGTAAGGCCCCGGAAGGCCCTTCAGCGCATTGAAGCAGAGACAGGTATCTTCGATGATCACCGGACCTTTTATTAGATTCGCCGCAGCCCGACACTTGTCGCGACATATATCGTCTACCTCGCCTTGATACTCGGGCAGATCGATCTTCTTGCTCGTTATCCATCGAGGAAAGTCTTTCCCTAAAATGGCGATAAACTCCTCCAGCTTCTTCGCGTTGCCCGTTACGAACACTATTGACAGCGACATATTCTGCAACAGAAGACACGTAGAGCGTCAAGTAAGGCGTGTATTATTTTAACTAAAATTTCTATGATTAATGTTGAAAAAATCTTTTTCTACTAGGAACACACCGTCGACTTACGGTTGACATAATATTATATTGTCAAATAAAATGAAAGGACAGAGCTAGCGAACAAGGTTGGATGTTTATATGCGTATATCCAGCAATGTAAGGATATAATGAATTATTTTAACGGAAAAACGCAAATTGTTGAGAATTGTTGCATCCAACGAAAAAAACTAAGATTAATCACGCATTATAATTAAGCCGATACGTTACATATGTACGTGTGAGTCTCTTAGAGTCGAAAAGAATGTCCATTGTTCTCACGGTTCTGATCGGAGTGATAGTGTACGAGACACGTGAATATATCGTGCACATAAAACCCGTACTATGAGAGATTCGATAAAATTAGTCAGAATTTTAAAATAGCTATTATAGCTACTTTGCACGATCTCACATTCACGGGTCTCGTACACTATCACTTTATCCTTTTCGACTCTAACAAAAAAGGAGTCTCTCAAAACAAGGTCACATACATATGTAATATATCAGCTTAATTATAATGCGTGATTAATCTAAGTTTTTTTTCGTTGGAATACAACTCTAAACAATTTGCGTCTTTCCGTTAAAATAACTTGTAGTATCCGTACATTTGCACACTCATGATAACCATATTAAAGATTGAAACGTTTGCTTTTAATATTACTAATGTATAATATATCTTAAGCTTTTACTGTTACTAATTTATATATGCATATCTTAAGCACTAACATCCAGCTTTGTTCGCCAGCCCTGTCTCTTTTGTTTATTATTAATACAAACGTGTTAATTTTACTTTTACATTTATATTATCAAATTCTGTAAAAAATAGTTCTAAACTACGATTTCTTTGATATAAAATCCAGTAAGTTATTACAAAATAAAAAAAATATATAGAAAGATTTAGAAAAAAATGTGTATATTCTCATTAACAGGATTTCCACGTTTTGTAATAATTCAGTCTGCTTTATATTGTAAAGAATAAGTCAACTATTTTAACTTCAGTTATTCTTTACAAAATTTAACACAATATTTTACATTGGATTTCTACTTTTAAATTGTATGTATTAGTTAAAGATTTAGTTAAATTACTTTAGAATGACATTTTCATACTGTTATTTGTTATAATTTTATTATATGTAAATTATATCTTCACCGTTTATTCTTCTCATTAACAAGATTTCCCCATTTTGTAATAATCAGTGTGCTTTATATTGTAAAAAATTAGTTAACCATTTTAGTTTCAATTTTACAAAATTGGATAAGATATTTTTTACTTTAAAATTCTAATAAATTGGAAATATTAGTAAAAAAAAATTTTTTTAAATTTACTTTAATTACCATAGAATGACATTTTTATATTTTGTTATAATTTTATTATAGATTATATGTTCTCAGCATTTAGTCTTTCCTCGATTCCGCGCGCTTTTCACATCTTTCAGATTGGCAGCTTTCTTGTCTAGAACAATACATGTAAACATGTTATGCACTTCGACACGCTGGACTTCTGTCCATGATTTGATCTCAAAATAATGTGAATATGACGTATTCCAAATAATAAACCATCTCTATTAGATATAGACCTTTGATGCGAAAAAGAAAACTCTTACCTTCTCGATTGAAAAATCGTAATACTTTTACGTTAAAGCTCGTTGTCGCTCCTAACCAAGAAAACTGCAGCCAGCGCGTGCAACGTTGTTTTCTCGATCAAGCTGGCCAACTTCACTCGGATGAATCGCGAAAGGCACGTTGTCCTCGTTCATCAACTAAATGGAAAACTACTTCAATTATTTATAATTGAAAGCAATCAACTATAATATAATATTTTACCTTCCACATCTAGAATTATCTTATGCTATTTCACATTGCAAAAAAACACAAGTATCGACGTTTTTTTCTCCTTGTCCGCGTACGGCGCTTCGATGAACTTGACGTAGTTGACGTACGACATGCTATTCTTGTTACCGACCGCGATCGACGGCGGGCACGGTGGCGGCGGCGGCGCGGCGGCTGCAGTAGTGTCAGTAGTGTAGCAGTATATACGTCGTTTCGAGTTTGTCAAAAATGCCGAGTCAAGAGGTATTGACAACCAAGGTTGTCGTCCACCCACTGGTGCTGTTGAGCGTGGTGGATCACTTTAATCGCATGGGAAAAATCGGAAATCAAAAAAGAGTGGTCGGCGTACTCCTGGGCTGCTGGAGGGCCAAGGGGATCCTGGACGTGTCGAACAGCTTTGCAGGTTAGGACGGGCTACACGTTACAACGTTTCTCAAAACGTTCGCGTTTGCAGCCATTCTGCTTTTGTTAACGCTCACAAATGCTTAGAGGAATAAATGTCCTTACCTTCGAAGCTGAGTGCGATATAAAGAGATAAACGTGCTTGTGTTTTTCAGTACCCTTTGACGAGGATGACAAGGATAAAAGTGTATGGTTCCTCGACCATGATTACCTTGAAAATATGTACGGAATGTTCAAGAAAGTCAATGGTAAAGACCTATGACTAGTTTATGCAAATTCTGTAGATTTTACTTGGAGCGAGAATTCTAATTGCGATATCCTATTTGTTGACTCTTAGCTCGTGAGAAGGTAGTAGGCTGGTACCACACTGGGCCTAAACTACATCAAAATGACGTTGCCATCAACGAACTAATAAGAAGATACTGTCCTAATTCAGTCTTGGTCATTATCGACGCCAAGCCGAAAGATCTCGGACTTCCCACCGAGGCGTATCAAGCAGTTGAAGAAGTGCATGATGTACGTTTACATATATAATGTCTGTTTTGAAAAAGAAAAAATGAACACGTAACAAGAATTTTATTCACAGGATGGCTCTCCTACCTCCAAAACTTTTGAGCACATTCCAAGCGAAATTGGAGCTGAAGAAGCGGAAGAGGTTGGAGTAGAGCATTTATTACGAGACATCAAGGACACTACAGTTGGTACTCTCAGTCAAAGAATTACAAATCAACTACTTGGCTTAAAAGGTCTTCACGAACAAATCCGGGAAATTAGAGATTATCTGCTTCAGGTATATATTAATTTCTGAAATTGCTTTGTATTAATATCGCCAGGAGATAGGATCACTCAAATAAATACTTTTTGCAGGTTGGCAATGGAAAATTACCTATAAATCATCAAATTGTTTATCAGCTACAGGATATCTTTAATTTGTTACCGGATATGACTCAAAGTAGCTTCGTCGATTCGTTATATGTCAAGACAAACGATCAGATGCTGGTTGTATATCTGGCAGCGTTAGTTAGGTCCATAGTAGCGTTGCACAATTTAATTAACAATAAGCTAACCAATCGTGACGCTGAGAAAAAAGAAACGGACGGGAAGAAGGACACGAAGAAGGAAGAAAAGAAGGAAGAGGAGAAGAAAGGGGAGGAAAAGGCGAAAGCTAAGAATCAGTGATCGGAGCATTTCTGAGCTTGCTCAGCTGCGAGATTGAGACTGTTAAAGTTGAGGACAATTAATGACTCTGTGTGTAATAGTCAAGCCTGTTCACTATTTGTACAGAATTATATCCCACTTATAAATAATGACAGTTTAAATATGTATTAGAAACGGCAAATTGATTCCCCAACGGTTCTGGCATAATTCTGTGAATTTTTAATATATTAGGCGCAAGAGAAAAGAAATAAATGGTAACTCGACACTTCTGTATTTTGAATGTAATGAATGATGTAGTAAATATATCGAAAAATTTAGAATTAAGACATTTTTTACAGAATATTGTAATTATTACAATATTTTCAGCGTTTTAAGTAACAATCTATTAATATAAACTAGTATTCTATATGTAACAAGACACAATTATTTATTTTCTCTTGATTTCAATCATTACTCAACTAATAACAAACAATTTATGTATTCTTTTAAATTGCTTCAAGGCGTGTTGCTTAAAATTTAAGTTTCAATTAACATGTGTGATAGATATTGATAATGTATTTTTTAGGAAATACAAGTCATTCTATTAAGAGAAAATATTACATTAATAATAAAAAATGATCTTTTACTTATACCGTTTTATTAATTTATTATCTCGGATATAGAAATGCTTTCCTAAAATATTATACTTTACCAAACAGAATATACAAAAACACAGATATATAATATATGTATGTATGATCTTTGTACATGTACAACCGTATGCTTCATACAGGCGGAATATATATAAATATGTAAATCTCTTTATAATCATATACGTTGCATGATCGATTGTATATGTATTATATGATTTGTGACTTAAACATCCACATACCACGGCATTTATTAACAAATATTACAATATATTTGATTTCTCGTATGATTCAGCGATTATCTATTTAAAAATCATCTACAGTCCGCTGTAAATTCTAAACTTTTTTTTATATCAGAATGCTGAAGAAAATGAACAAAAGGAGCCATCGATAAGTCTCGATTTTTGCGGCACCGCTATAAGCTATGCCCACATAAGGTTCCAAATTCGTATCGTTGTAATGCTGGAAGTACCAATTGAAAGGACTGTTGTCTATCACTTTGGCTTCATCATCGACAACGAACGCCTCGTTCTGGCTTTCAATCGTCGTCTCATCAGTGATCTCACTTCTCTGAGCAGCGCCGGCAATCGACTTCTGCTTCTCCCTGGATTGCTCGGCATTGTAGCTGATGTACGGCGAGGCAACTTTAGTTATCGTAGATCTGCCAAGCGGGCGTAAATTTACCACGGGTCCTGAAGACGGCACTTGTCCCCCCGGGATCAGAAGCGCGGACAAAGCGGATGCCTCCGTCCCTCGAGAAGTCGTAGTCGTGGTTTCTTTGGGCCGTGGATGTGATGTAGAAGACGTTGTGGTTGCTGAAAAGCGCGGAATCGGCTCTGCATCTATTTTTATCACAATATCCGAATTGTCTGCAATAAATAAAATATTTTTATTAGATGTTTAGTGAACTACGATACGAAAAATTTAACTTTAAAATAAATTTTATCGCAGCAGAAATTTAATTGCAAATACATCTCTGAGAACTCTTACGACGAAATATACACACGTATCAAACATTTTAAAATTAAATTATATTAATGTTATTAAGATATAAACTCTCACCAGGTTTTTCGTGAGAGTCAACTGTACTGCTTAAAAAGATCGGATCTTTGTCATATTCAGATATTTCTAAGGCCCAGTCTTTGGATCCGTTTTCATTTGCCGGTATTACTTCCACCGCTGCAGTCACAGTTTCCTTGGTAATTGTAGCTTTTTTCGTTTCCGCTATTACTGCTTTTGGTGTGGTCCAAACTATCCTGTTAGCGACTTCCATCTGGGGCTTCTCTATGAATTTAGTGTCTTCCGTATTTATTTCTAAACTCTCGCCGTCGTAAATCTCGGTGGACACCGATGTTTCGTAAGCTTCTTGCGATGAATCCTCCTCCACGATTATTGATGCACTATTTTTCACTACATTTGATGTGTTAAGGCTAAGCAGAGAAACAACGTTTAAAGATTAGCTGAAAGCAAGTATCGATATAATAGTATTCAATTTAAGGCAATTTAAAATTTAATTTTTTTTTAATTAAAATTAAATAATTGAATACATTTAAAAAAATTAATGCACATATATATATTAAAACTAAACCATCTTGAGAATTAATTAAAAAAGAATTTTATCTTAATTGACTAAAGAATTTGAAAGATATCCTATCCCGAGTGTTGTATGTTAAATTTAAAAAGTTACATAAAAAAATTCTTTTTTGACATTTACCTGGTTTTATTGACGTTGGACAAAATCTTGTGAGATTCAAAACCAGTCGATCGAACGAATGTTGACGTAGTAGGTAATTCTTCCCTTTCTCGGAAGCTCGTTCTCGGTTTCCCGGACTTGGAAATAATTTTTTCCACCTTGGTCACGGTACTGTTTCCGCTTTTCCGAGAAGGACGTTCCTCCTGTACCGATGTATTGCTTACATTCAGCGATTTTGAAGTATTCTCGTGCTTCGCCTGTTTCTCGTACGTCAATCTAGGATCGGCAATCGGCACGAATCCACTTTGGCCGCGCGGTAGAGGCAGAAACCCACCCCTGTGAATTTCCGGTTCTGTGGGCGGAAAAGATCTGTAACGTCCTCGGCCGGGTCTATCCGACGATGACTCCTTCCTCTCCGCCTTCCTGCCTGAATTTCCCCACAAATTGAAGTTCAAATTCGGCAGCGGTAGGCCGAAGAAGGTGAAACCGGAGCTGCTGGGCGACGGTGGCATCATAGGATTCTTCTTTATTGGTGATGTGGCGTTTTTCTGATGCTTCTGCGTTGGCGGCGGCGGATGAATGATCTTCACGGTCTGGGTAGGTGCGCTGATGGTAGACACGCTAGGCAGTAACGTGCTCGTATCGCTTCCGTTATCCTGATAATCTACGTACTGGTAGAAGTAATCGGAGTCCTGGGAAACAGAAGGCTTCTGCGTGGAGGAATCTTTTAGATTCATCCACAGTGGTATTGTCTCTGTAATCCCAAATGCTGGCAAAATTCAATATAACTTAATAAATAATATAATCTGTTTGTTGAAATTGTTTTCCTTCTAATTTATGAATTCTAAATTCATAGATATATATTGTATATATTTTTAAAAATCTTTTTTATATATTTGAATATATTATATATTTGAAATGCAATTGATATCGTCGAATAAATAAAACAGTGTAATAATTTAGCATTGATGAAAAATTAAATCTTGATTTTTTTGGGTCGCTAATTAATTTATTTTACTCGGATTATTCGTGAATTTACCGGATGAGGAAACCGAAGGCGTCGCAACGTTAATCATTTCAGTCTCGCATCCTGGGTGAACCAGTTCCACGTATCTCTCCCGCTGGCAGTCCTGTCGCGATAATCTGAGCTCCTTGAAGAGGGAACCATCAGCGCATCTAGGACCCTCCGAGGAAGCCTGCTGTAGCCATCCTCGCAACCAAAGCATGCCACAAGAACAGGACAGTGGATTTCCTTTCTCAGAAATAAAAAGAAAATATAAATAAAAAAAACGTATTGACGAATTATGTAGATATCGAGGCTTTCTTTAAAAGAAATTGATGCAAATTAATATTTAATCCTAACGCTATCAATTATAATTGATTTAAATACGGGTTTTTATATAATTATCATTAATTTAATCTATATTCTAAATTACCGTCGATATCCAAGACAGCGATATTCGATCGCAGCCTTTTGAAAGCGTTCTCAGAGACCGCAGTCATCCGGTTGCTTCGCAGGCTCAGTACCCGCAATCTCGGCATATCGTCGAAAGGCGAACCGTGCACGGCGCAAATGCGATTGTTGTCCATCTGCATGCAGAAAGGAAAACGGTCGTAAGGCGGCTATGTAAAGCGGCTCAGCTATCTCCCTAATTAACGATGCAGGTATACGAATAATTGCTCCGCCAGCAGAACGGCCCGTCTCGCACCATGGTTCACGCAGGAGTTTCACTCTCGACGAGAAAGTATTCTTCTTTATTAGCGAAGACTCTCGCACTCTCATTGTGTTATTTTGTGATATTTTGCAAGTTAATTCAGATAAATTTTTTACAAATTGTATCGCAGTTGTTTTAAATTTCTGATGACGACGTAAAAAAAATATTTAAAAAACATGAAATATACACTGTAAAGAGATAATAATCTATTCTTTTAAAATCGATCTCATAAAATCTTGAAATTTTCGCTATAATTACCTTTAATTCCACCAGCCACTCCATAGCTGCCAAACTGTCGCTGGAAACTCTGGATAACCGATTGTAACTGAGATCAAGGACCTCCAACGAGCGAAGGCCCTCCAGACCGACGTACTCCAAGTCCGGCAGGTGATTGTGACTTAGATTAAGGAAAAGTAAGTGTGGCACGTTAATGAAGGCATTACTAGCAATTTCCTGAATCCGATTCTCCTGAAGTTCCGCGCTCTGTAGCAGCGGTAATTCGGTGAAAGCGCCGCTGGGGATGGACTGTAAAACCATGTACATTATGTTGGATCCTTAATCATTTAGCACAATATATTTATAAAATTTATTAAATATAAAAATTAGACAATGATACGTAGTATATTTTCGATACATTCTGAAAATTCTTTATAATAACAAATTTGAAACTTTCTACTCGTATTTGACAAAATATATAGTGATGTTTTGTCTAGAGATATTAATCTGACATGAATTATTATTTTACAATTGTGGGTGACCGTGAAACTATTATTACCTGCAATCGATTCCTGCCGAGTCGGACGGCCTGCAACTCCGGTAACGCTCTGATTGCGTTTCTCTCGATCACCCTGAGATCATTGTTTTCGAGATCGATCAGGGACAATCGCGGCAATCCGTCGAACGCACCCTCCCGCAGCTCCCGTATATGGTTTCTAACCAGTTTCAACTCCAACAAGGACGACAGACTGCTTAGCGTTTCCGGAGATAGGATGTTCAGCTTGTTGAAGCTCAAGTCGAGGACTCGTAGAGCCGTTAAGCCGTGCAGCGATCCGGGTAACTCGGTCAAAGTATTGTGCGATGCGTACAATTCACGAAGGTCTCTGTAATTGACATTGATGTTATCGTTTTGGATGCAGGATGCTTAAATAAATCTTTCTCCGAAGTAAAAGCATGAAAGACGTTTAAAGATGTACGAAAAAATGAAATATCCTTCAAACTTCTTTCACGGCATTATTTATAGCGTTTTAAACAAAAATTAAATAATTTATTATATTTAATCGTTTATTAATATTTATCAATTTAAGTTTAATCGCAAATATATACATATAACATGTCTATCTTGAATATTAGTCAATCTGGGAGAAAATTATGATGAAGATGCGTTAGAGAAAATGCGTTTGAGATTCAGATTTAAATTAAATTAAAGCATATCTTTTAAAGTACATTGAATTTGATCGATGTGATCAAGTTAAACTTGATGGACGAGATTAAATAAAATCGCGTATAAAATCCAGTCAAATTAGTCGACACGCCAGGCCGATGCTACACAACGACGAGAAAGAGATATTAGCGTGTGCACGAAGAACTTTCTAAGGTACCAAGTTAAGAGTGATGCAACCAAGTAACCACGAGTGAAACTACTTTTCCACTATAATACGAGACCGCAAAATAAACATACAAAGGGGAAAATTACTCCTATTATTATAAACGTGATATACTTAAATAAATTTTGGTAATTAAAAATTGGAATAAACTGAAAATGATGCATTTTAATATTTTTTATGTGAATTTAACATGATTTCTACGTGATTTTAATATATGTATGTAAAAGCAAGAAGCAAATATCATATAATAAACATCACGTTTAAAAATAAACTGCAAATATATTAAAATTAAAATTGTTGAATTTCTTACCTGGTGTTGGTGAAGGTGGCGTGAGGAATTTGTGCGAGATTATTTCTACTCAAGTCAATTCTTTGCAGTCTCGTATTCTCTTGAAAAATATCAGGTCGCAGAACCTCCACTCGATTGCCCCGAAGATTCACGTCCATCAACGATTTCAGAGGTCGAAAGCTTCGTCCGTGCAACGTGACCAGCCGGTTGCACCTCAAGTCTAGCTGCTCCAATCCCGTGAGTCCGTCGAAAACGCCGTCGTCCAGGAGTCTTAGAGCGTTATAGCCTAGATTCAATTTTCTCAAATTCGGCAAGTCAGCCAGGGCGCCAGGCAAAATTCTCTCGATCCCGTTCGAGCTTAAATCCAACGATCGTAGGGCAGGTAGAGCTAGATCCTGAGAGGACACCGTTGGCAACGCGACAATACGGTTCTTGGGCATGTGAAGATGTTCGATGTCCTTCGGTAAACCAGGGACCACTTCCAGCATACGATTCAAACCGACGTCAAGCTCGTATAAGTTTGTTAGGTGTCGGAACGTTAAGGGATGAAGAACGGACAAGGCGTTCCCGGAGATATTGACGTGCTCCAGCACTGGTGTGCCCAGAAAGGACTCGGGTTCGATGAGCCCTATGGCGTTACCGCTAAGATCCAGCCGTCTGAGATTTGGTAGATTAGTGAACAAACGTGGTTCTACGTGACGGAAATAGTTCTCCGAAAGATCCAGACCCTGGAATTAAGTACTGATCGTAATCGATGCAGAAGCAGCAGTAGTAATAAAATATCAACGATATTTAATTTTACTTTTAAGAAAGAATCGAAGCTGAATTCGAAATTAATAAATTATTGAAGAGTAATGAATGATTGCATAAAATTCGTGTAATATTAATATTTAATTAAAATAAAAAATAAAATTTTATTAAAACTAAAATATTTAAGGAATTTTACCTTTAACGCTGGCAAATTCCAAAAGGGAGCCTCCAGCAGATTTGATAAAGAATTGTTCTTCAGTCTGAGCTCCCTGAGCGCCGGCATCGCCGTGAACGTTTCTCTTTGCAAAAACGCCAACCTGTTATGATTCAGATGGAGCCTCTCCAAAGTGGAATGGCCTCTTAGAGCACCGAAGGGTATTTCCTCTAACTGATTGTGACTGGCGTCTAGGAACTTCAGCCTTGGCAGAGCCTCAAGCACCGATCGTATCTCGGCCACGTGACTAAGATCATTATTGATCAGCCATATCTCTTCCAACGCGTTTCCTATCCGTTGCGGAAAGAATTCCGGATGGATGCGATGAATCAGATTGTGATTCAGGTCTATAGACTTAAGAACTGGTACCCCCTGAAAAGCTCCGGCGAATATCTCGGTGATGTGATTGCGCGACAGATAGAGTCGCGACAAAACGGGAAGATCAACGAAGGAGCCTTCGCCCAGGCGATTGATGCGATTTCGATCCAGACGTATCACCGACAGTGACGGGAGATCCATACACGCGCGACCGACCATACCGGCGTCGATTATGGCGTTTCCAACCAATGAGATCTCCTTGAGCTCCGATAGATTAATCATGGCCCGCGGATGAATCCAGTGGATTCCGGAATCGGTGATGTTGATCAGTTCTAGTCGAGGCAGACCTCGAAGAAGCCCGGCCTCCAGTCTGGTCAGTCTCGGACTACCCAACACGTGCAGCTGCTCCAGATTGGGAACGTCCCGAAAGTTCCTCGGGACGAGTTCCAGCAAAGCCGGAGAGTTGATCTGAAGATACCTCAGCTTCGGCAGGCCGGAGAATCTCGGTAGTCGCTTCATCACGCGACTCTGTAGCGTCACCGCCTCGACACCTTGCAGATTTTCTAAACTGTCTACGGGTAGAGACCGCAGATCGGGCTCGACGATGAACAGTTCCAGCAATGAGTCGTGTAGACCTTCCAGCCAGCCGGAGGACACCCTTTCGAGACGATTGTTTCGCAGCATCAAGCGCAGAACTCGTAAAGTCGCGAACACCTTGCCGGGTAAACTGGGCAGGTTGTTGTTCTCCAAGATCAATTCGTCCACCGGTCGGTCCATATAGTGGCTGACTGCCTGCAGACCTTCCAGGACCTTTGGTAACTCGCTGTGGCTACACCTGTGCGAATTTATAGCGTTGAAGATTGTTCATTCATTGAAATTCTCGGGATTACATATCCGGTCATGTAAACTTGCCATATCTGAACTTCCATATCGCGCGTGGAGCATCTGCATGGCAGTATCCTCTCTTGAAGCGGACATCCGTAATCCGGATCTAACTGGGCACCGGCACCGATGGAACGGAGTGCCAGGAGCCAGCCAACTATCAAAAGCCCACCGCCCTCCGACGGCCCGACCATCGCGCATTTGGACCGTAGTCTATGACCGCGAGCACCAGTTCCGCATTTTCTGGAATACGCGTGCATTCGTACGCGAACGGACGAATTTGCAGGAATAAGAGAATCAACAAACATCGGGAAAAAGTAAATCTAGCTCTTCAGAGCTATATGTGTTTTACAAGTTGATAATTAAAATTCATATTCGAAATCTTTCTAAATCGTTAATTTTTTAGATTGAGCAGCACAATACATAAGAATATTCGGATTTTCTTAGTCTTTTTTACAGATCCATCGTGAGCTGTGAAGTCGCTGTTACACGCGATTTTGCGCTTACTGTTATCATTTCCTTAATGAGTCGATCTTTTGACACCTAATTGTATTTAGCAAACTGTTGCCAAAAGACTCATTAAGGAAATTATAACAGTAACGAATGTCGCTGTTTCGACATGTCAAAAGTTGCGCAGCGTTTCCGCGAATACGAGATGACGAATGCGCGGCTAAGATTAGAAATCTCGTTAGCGAAACAACCACCGTTTGGTGGGATTTTAGATGTTAAGAGCCCTTGGGGACGTCACGGTACGCCTCTGTATCCTGAGCACGATGCCACGCACTGTGTACGCGTGTACACACGTCACGGTCGCAGACGACAAAATTGATGTCCCGTACCGTAAGCGAAGTTAAAGACCGCTAGGACAATCATTGTCCGTAATAATTGTCGTCGCGCGACCGCGCTTCTGATGTATAAAGTGATGACCGGCGAGTAAAACTGGAGGGTGAGTCGGATTAGGATTAAAAATTCGCACTTCGGAGAGAGAGAAAGTTTGAGAAAATTATTATACTTTGAGTACACTGTATTTTGAAGTAACCTTTGTGTTCCTCGGATAGCATTATTATTTTGTAAGATTATACAATTGTATATAATCATACAATTATATATATATATATATGTACTTACATTTGAAATTATGTTAAGAGATAATATTTTTCTTTTCTGAACACATCAACTGTTTTTGTTTTACTTATACGTAATATTTTAACAAGATAACATTTTGCATAAAATAAAATTGTAATCAACGCGAACATTAAGACAAAAAGTTTGTGTGAACACTAAAATAAAAAGATAAAGGCGTTTACCACGAGCATCCTGACATGCAGAAAAACGTGGATTTCGTAATGCGTCAGCCTTTAAGAAGAAGGAAACAATCGGGCGGCCTGAAAAGCTATTCGCACGTGAATAACGTCGATATAGCGCAATCTATGATAAAACGATTCAAAGTTGCATTGTACGCGTTGCGTTAACGAATAGATCTGTCTTGATGTATCTGTTTCCGCATCTCAAGACGTTTCCGCAGAATTGAAAGAAGTTGAAACATTGATATCAATAATCTCAGATGACAGAATAAAATTAACTGTTGCATAAAATTAATTGCTGCGAAGAAATATAATATACGTTTTTGAGACAATCGAATATTTCGCATTATAAATATCGAGACTGACAGAACAAAATTCGCAGCTAACAAACGTAGGGAAACAAAAGTGGATAATATGCTACAGAAAATAAAAAATAAATGTTATTTCGCTTATTTCTTAACACTTATTTTTTATTTTCTGCAGCATATTATCTGTTTTTGTATTACATCTTGTATTTGTACATACATATATATATATATATAGCAGCATATAATTATTAACGGTTATATATCTCATTAAAAGATTTCTTCAAGATCTCTCAAGCATTATAGCAACGGTAATATTAGTCTTGCCTTAGAGTGCATTATTTTATATATTCTACATTAACATTTTACTATACAACTTATTTGTATAGTTTAACATATATATATATTAAGTTATTATTAGTATTAATTTTTTATTCTAAGATATTGCTCAATAAAGATGCACTGATAAATGCATGACTGGTTTCTCGCGTAACTCGCACAACCAATTGTCTTTCAATTCCGTCATCATAATGCTGAATTTTGATCAAACAACAGCGTTTGTTTGGCCTCGAATAGCTATGGATGCAATTTTAGTGAAAGTGATATCCACTTCCTTGATATTTCGCCGTCAGTGACCTCAAGCGTGCATCTCATTTTTATCGCAAATGCTAATTTTACATCATTATGCAACTATGCATGAGGAAGATTGTATTCTTTATATTATGGGGCATTCTTTTTCGTAGTACACTAACACTAATCAATATCAAGCAGTAGATTTCTAGCAACTTGTTTTATAAAATTTTTAAATTTTTTTAAATATCTGATATATATATATATTCATGTATCAAAAATTAGTTATTTTCACGGAAGACTTCTTTCATTTCTATATTATCATATTATCAAACTAGTTAAAGAATGCGTTGGATAATGTAAATTTCTACAAAACAAAAATAAGTTTTGGAGCGGTTAACGAAATTGCGATTGCCAGTCTTGCTATTGTGTTATCAAAATTTATTATATTTAAAGAAAATTCTGAATAGTGTCAATTTTCTGCCCATAAACTTTCATTTACCTTCAATATCGACAGTGTTCGTCAAATCGGCGTCTTGTTTCTGAAGAATTCTTTACGTTTCTCAGCGAGAACGAAATCCACGAAGAAAAACCAAATTTGCTTTTCGGAAATTATGAATATAAAATTATCTACACTCTATTCTCTTGCATAAAACGAACAATATATCTTTTTTACAAGGGCACACACATACACACGCGTTTTATCTTTTCCAACGTCTCCGTGGTCACGAGTATAGCTTTTCGTAATCTCGTTACGTACTAAATGCACTGAAGAAGCTGTTCGCAAAAGCGTGGTGGCCTGCACAAAGTTGAGGGGAGAAGATGACGGTGCCATGGCGTGGGTGATGGCGGGAGGGACGCGAGGAGAATTGCGAAGTGCGTGTCCAGCCACCGTGAAGACACGCTTCCAGGAAATTCTTCCCTTTCCCCACAAATCTCACCGATCGCCGAATGTGTATAATTCGACAGGTGAAAAATCGTCTTCCCTTTCGTTTTCCGCGTTGCACTGGTGAAGCAACCTAGGTTGATTGCGTCCTGATCGAACTCGTTCGAATGGGTACTGGAAAACAGAAAGGACATGTTCAATAATTTAATTAATTTCGAAAATTGAGAATTCTTAATATCATAAAATAAACCATTATTAATTTTATTTGATTTATTCGCGTGTGTCACGTCGATTATACATTAATCCTTCACGATTATTTAAAAATTAGTCATTTTATTGCAATACATATATCCATATGCAAACGTACAGATATGCTATCAGTGGAGCTGATGTAAGGTACACATTATTTATGTGTATACACTAGGAAAACTGGATTTGGTACGCTCAGAATTATGCAATTAGTGACTTACACTCTCTGCATTTACGATCGTGAATAACGTTCAATAATCGATCATGTAATGATGTGAATAAATAATGATTATATCTAAATAACAAATAAAGTTTGAGTAAAATATCATAGTTACCTATAGAGATTCTATTTCGAGATCGTTAACTTCCAAGTAACTGTATAGCTATGGAACTTCATCTTCTTTCTTGATACAGCTTTCTCTTCACCTTTAAAATGCATTCATTAAAATCGGTCATTAATATCCTTTCTTCACCTGTGAAAAATTACGAAGGTTTTATCTCGCGTATCGATATAATGTGAGCGAAAGTTCTTTTGCAACCTTGATATTCATACGGCATCTACGAGCGGCTTATTTATGCTCTCATGTTTTGCTCTCGCGTCTATGCAGGACTTTGAGCAATAACCGGTTTAGGATCGTACGAGGAAAAATTGTCTCGCTATTGGTCCGTACTGGTCAAGCCTCCATCGATTACTGCAATCAAACGTCATAGATAAATAATTAATTTATGTAACTTCTGAATTTGATCTATTCAATCTTCCGAAAAAAATACAAACTCTAGAAAAATTGAAAAATTCTATACAAGTAGGAATTCTCTCTATATTGGTAACGATAAAATTACTTCCACGAAATTTATGTTAAATATTGTTAAAAATTAAATTAAGAAATAATGAGAGCCGTCGCAAGATCGGATATGCGGAAATTATATTTAAAGACTCTTAATTTAAAAATTAAATTAATAAAAAATAAGTAATAATATAAACACGATAGCCATGATGAAATAGTCGATAAAATTGACGTAGTATCTATAAAATGTCATTGTGAATAAAATTCTGTGATTAAAATGGGTGTAACTTTAATAAAAAACACAATTCTCTGGCTGATGTTGTCAAACGAGTTGTATATATGCATAGTATCGGGAAAGACTGAGAGCCGTTTAAAGTCCTTTTTATGTAAAGATTCGTTCACATTAAGCAGAAGTGTGACTATATATCCGCGGTATGTAGTTTTTATTCTCTCCACGAAATCCAGCAGAAGTATCTTTTTCTCATGTTGACTGACAAAGTATGTCGTTGACGCGAATATCTTGAGAATATTTCTTCTGCGAGATATTTTTGAGAATTTTTAATTGCCGATGAAGATAGCGATCGCGATGGCGCAAACTATTCGAATATTTATTATATATATGAAACAAATCGGAATCTTGTGCAACGGAGAAAACGATCCAGCATATATTACATTTGAGAGATAAATGAAGATGCAATTTTTGTCTATTTTAAGAAGAATGACAAATGGTTTCTGCAATAAAATCCTTTTGTAATGTGAGTACCCACGCGATCCCACCTACACTGAGAAAAAAAAATCGTAGATTCAAAGAAATATTATTTGATTCAACTAAATGCAGTGGTCACGGGCTGTCAAGCTAACATTTGTTAATTCAAAAAATATTATATTTAAATAGATTCAGAATTTCTTGATATTACTCACGTATATTTGATTTAAATATATTAATATTTGCATTAAACAAATCACTACAACTAAACGAGTTTAGTCAAATTTACAACATTTTTTTCTCAGTGTAGTGTGAACAGGCCTTTATTAGATATACAGGTAAGACAGTATTTGTGTCCTATGTAACTGGTTTTGAAAATGGACCGTGATATAAGGTAGAATTATTGCTCGAGCGTCCAGTTGTTTATCGACCACCAACAGGGAAGGATTTAATCCTGCTTATAAGCAGAGAATCTCCAGATTCTATGCTTATAAAGTCATTTGTTTTTGACATAGTGGACACTTTAAAATAGTGCGAACAATTTTACACTTTTTTTAAATATAAATTTTTGTTATGTAGAAATTATTTAATATTAGATAGAAAAACCGATAAGAAAGATAAACATCGTGACGAGATCTTTTATTTGTTTGAAAATAAAATAGTGCATCGATTTTGAGAATAATGTTGTACAAAAGTATTATTCGCTTCTCGTGTCACTTTACGAGAAACGTTCGTAGAAACTTCCACGTAACCATCAATCCTTTTAATAAGATGATCAAGGAAACAGGTAATGCCAAGGAAACTAATTCCGCTAATACAAGAAATGCAGTTAAACCTCCGCGGATACTAATAACAGGTGAGCAATGAAATAACATCTTATGAGATAATTAATGAACATTTTTTGTTGAATTAATCTATCTAATAAATTTTATACTCGATAATAACTCGACAAATGCTAATTCATGCTATTAATGTGATAAGGATAAAATGCACGCAACTATATTCTTATTTTATTATGGTATTTATTCTTTGTTATACTTTCACGTCGCATTTGATACGTTGCTAATCCAATTATGCATATTTCTTAAAAGAATTACTTAAGCAATTCTTTTAAGAAGAATTCGTTTAAGAAGAACTTGGGTTTTCAGATTTAAGATCTGATAGATGGATGTTTTATATGTAAATTTAACCACATGTTTTCGCAGCTTAAGATTTTATCAGAAAGTATTATATCCTTTGTGTATAGAAAAATATTACAAGGCTAACGTTACACGTTGATATCCGCGTTTTATCATAAAAGATGCAAGGTGCTTTCTTCATCGAACAAATTCTCATGTGATTTTTGTTCAGGTGGTCTCGGACAATTGGGCACGGAATGCGCGAAATTGCTTCGTCGAAATTACGGTAATGAGAATGTCATACTGTCAGACATTATCAAGCCGTCGGAGGAGAGCTTGGAGAACGGGCCCTTCATCTTCGCCGACATCCTCGACTTCAAGGGTCTGCAGAAGACCGTCGTGGACTACAGAATCGACTGGCTGATCCACTTCAGCGCTCTGCTTAGCGCTGTCGGTGAACAAAACGTACCGCTAGCTGTCAGAGTCAATATCGAAGGTAGAGAGAGCCGTATGTCATCATGTCATCCGATCAAGATCGCGTGTCATATTATTATTAACAGCGTAACGTAATTACTTCCTGTTTCTTTCCTTTAATATTTAATAAAACGCAAAACCTCTCGTGCGAGGACGTGCGTTTTCCGCGAACTGCGTCCAAGTGAAATGGAATGCTGTGCCGACGAGTGAATTTGTCATTACGATATTAATTATGGACGCGGTCGTGATCACGAAAGGAAGAAAGTGTCCGGGAGAAAGCGGGCACAAAATAGCAGTCGAAGCAAAATAGATAATATCGCGATTTAGGAAAACACATGCCTGAAAGGCAGAACCGAGACCGCTTTAGAAAAAAGACACAATCAAAGCTACATACAGTCTTTTTTAAGACATTCAGAATCTTCGCGAATATCTGTTCGCGTTGTATATAATCATTACTCCATTATCTGTTTTTCTCGCAATTAACAGGAATGCACAACGTCATCGAGTTAGCGAAGCAGTATAAGCTGAGGATCTTTATACCGTCGACGATCGGCGCGTTCGGTCCCGACTCGCCGAGGAATCCCACCCCGAATGTCACGGTGCAACGACCTCGTACAATCTACGGTGTCAGCAAGGTCCACGCCGAGCTCTTAGGAGAGTATTATCATCATCGTTTCGGCCTCGACTTTCGGTGCCTCCGATTCCCCGGTGTAATCAGCAGCGATCCGCCCGGCGGCGGTACCACCGGTGAGGATACATTCCAGCTAGCGGAAAGTTCTAAAAGACATCAAAAAGACGTTTAAAAGATTACATAATTTTTCAGACCTTTTTTTAAGCGTTTTAAACTGTAAAAAACTGTCGTTTGTTTAAAGAAAAGAAAACTATTAATTTATCGCATCATCGGCGCTTAAACACGATTGATCATTTGATTTCAAAATTGAAGTTGTAGTTAACATGTTGACTGCCACGGTGATTATCTGCGACCGTCGTTTAATTTTTCAGTGACTTCCTCTGTGTTATTATAATCATGCGTCTTATCGACATTTTTGTAAAACATGAATGCCATGTAATGTAGAATTTAAAATGACATAAATAGATAATGATATGAAAAGAAATGCATTTTTTACATTGCTATCTAGCTATTTATGACATTTATGTCATTCAAAATTTTATGTTAAAGATACTTATTTTTTCAACAAATGCTTTTCAACACACTAGAGACGTGTGGATACATTTTGTAATGTTTTACAAAATATCGAACGTACGTACAGTATAATCTGATTTGTTCACTAAAGGTAGCATTCGCCACATCTTTTTAAATAATGCATTTATTCCTTTAAGATATCGCTGTTAATGGAATATAATACATGGAAATATATATTATGGAAATATATTATATATATGGAAATAAGATATTCTTCAACGTTGCGTGTTCAAGTTTTCCGATTCGTAGCAAGGTAATCGTATTTAAATGCACGATAGGAGTCATCACATTTTTGGTTACGTTTTTTTTTTTAAATAATGTATATACATAAAAAAACCGTGAAATATTAAAATGAGATATTCTTCAAACAAACGTTGCATGTTCAAGTTTTCCGATTCGTAGCAAGATAATCGTATTCATGCTTAAGGAACTCTTAATGCCACGTGTAGAATATAGGCTGATAACTGAAAATTGATATCGCTTACCTTCTTTCGCGAAGAACTAGAGCATTAACCGCGATTAAGATAACTGCATAATAGCGGAATGTATCGTTTCTCAAGGACAATATGCTGGCAAGTAATGCAGCGAGTTTCGATCCTGGGTCGCTTCTTTTTGCATTGTTCTTAATTTCTAAAACGTAAAGTATCAATAAATTGACGTCGATGAAAAACATGTTTTTACAAACACGTTATATCATAATATTTTTCGCAACAAATCTTTTATAGAGGCTTATTAGCATCACTATTATCGAAATGATTATCGATTTAACTTATAATAATTATATGATTGTGCTATTCCAACTTCAGCTTGAGATTTCCATTTCAATACCGATTAACTGACAGTAATCGACGCGTAGCTTGCAAAACGAAAAATGTACACATAAATTCAAAAATATTATTAGACGCAAAAGATGATTCAATCCAATCGTATATTGGCACATTTCTATTAATTGTATTTCGTTTTTGCACTCCGCGTAAATCAGCGTTTATTTCGTCATCGCAAATTAATCTCTCTAGAAAAATCAATTGTAAAGTGCAGTAATGAAAAGAAATATAGGCCTGTTCTATAATTTAGCTGAATTTTTTGCACGATTCTTCTTTTTTCTTTTTCTCTCCAACGTGAAAAGAAAAAGAGATTGATAGACCGTGCAAGAGAGTTCAGCTAAAACGAACAGGCCAATAATTTCCATTTAGCAAAATAGATTATTAAATTGATAAAGAAGTTCCTTCAAGAATAATCGTTTGCTGTTTATCTATGCAGATTTTATTTACTTCATCTTGTTCGAAGATGTATGTATGTTAAGACGTTTAAGAGAGATTCGATAATAATTTTATGCTTTTTTTTTACGCTTTCGCAGATTACGCTGTAGCAGTATTTCACGAGGGACTGTTAAACAAAAAATACGAGTGTTACTTGGAGCCTACGACGAGGCTGCCGATGATATACATCGAGGATTGTCTGTCGGCACTCTTTCAGTTTCTGAATACACCTAACGAATTACTGCGTAGACGAGTTTATAATGTCACAGCCATGAGCTTCACACCCGAGGAACTGTTCAGCGAGCTCCTCAAGTATATACCGGATTTGAAAATCACCTACAAGCCAGATAAACGACAGCACATCGGTACGTATGCAATATGTAGGTTACCATAGACGTATATAGTGATTAAAGTAATAGACTGAGCATTCCCAATATTCCCATTGGAGATCTTCCGGCAAGATCTGAAGGACAGAAGATATGCTTGGAGGCTTGCAGGGACAATTTCCTTTTCTAAAATCTAATTGTGTCCCAAGTCCTAACCTAAATGTTATAGCGTTTTCGACCGGGCCGGGTTTAATCGACCCGAGAGCGATTAATTGCGATTAATGACGTCACTTCGGCAAATCGAGCGATAACATTGGTCGATTTGCCGAAGTGACGTCAATAATCACTTTCGGAGCGATTCAATCCGGCGGATCCGGCGCGGGCGGCCGCCCGGCCCACTGCCCAGTCGAAAAAACGCTATTATTTTATTAGAAATCGTCTCTGCAAGTATATCTTCTGTCTTCCACATCTTGCCGGAAGCTCTTCAATGGGAATGCTAAGTCTATTATATACGTCTATGGTACATAAACTTCATACAGATATTGTAATTTGTAATGTACGATTAAAAAAATAATTTGTCATTACGTTGATTTTAGCGGCAAGCTGGCCACAAGTTTTCGACGATAGCGAAGCACGACGAGATTGGGGATGGAAACACAAATATGATCTGCAGAGGTTGGTGGAGTTAATGGTACGAGACGTTAGAACGAATTTTCTACCGAAACATCGATTGAAAGAGGTCAATAGCTATGTATAATTGTGTCGAGTTATAGATAACTAGTTACGGACTTTTTTCAATTGACGTACGCTTTGCGAACTTTCAAGTTATATAAAATTCAATAATGGCTCTCGACCGAAGTTCTTCAATTGTGAAAGAAGTCAATAGTTAATATAATTATGTAAAAGTCAATACGTTTTGAAATATTTCCGTACAGTATTTCCATAAGTTATATAATGTAATTCAAACAAATTATAACTGATATCTCAGGAATTTAATCAAAATACAGCGATTTTCTTGTTACACAAAGAGGCTTTTTAAATGTATTATAATTGAATTTCGGAAATCCTTTCGAAAACGAGGAAGAGCATCTTTGAAATTTTAAGTAATACCCTAAAACAAGATAGTTAATTGATTCTATGCTAAAAATTAATCAACTTTTATTTAAAATATTTCTTTCTAAAATCATACAATCAAAATTTATGAATTTAGAGATGTAGAGTTTGTACTTTGTATACATAGAGTATTTATTAAATTAAAACCAGTTTGACAATTATTGACAAAAGTATTGATAAATAGAATCAAAAATATATATTTGGAGAAATTTTTCGTAAATTAAATTCAAAAGCTATAAATAGTTTTATAATACAAAAATACAGAACGCTATTTATTAACTCTGATCTACGTCCACATCCATAAATTCTGTAAAATCATCGTCGTTCAGCATTTCCGCGATGTTTACTGGTGTCATTTTACTCTTTTTTGAAGGCGTTTGATAACTCGTTCTTTGATCCTTTCTCAAAGGTGTGCCAGTTGTATCTGTATTTCTCGTAGGTGTAACATATTTATCTTTTCTCTTTGGCGTCCCAGCAAATTCTGTATTTCTAGAAGGTGTAGGATATTTATCGCTTCTCCTTGAAGACAGGCTTCCAGGAGTTCCAACCGTACTTTGAGAAAATTTCTCTTTATTATCCATATCTGCAAATAAAATATTATAGAATGCGAAAATGTTGAAACGTTTCTTTTCCTAAGAAAAAAATTTTCCTCCTTTCGTACCTTTACCATCATCGTCTTCGGTTAAAATTGCACGACTTTCAGCAAAGTATGCATTTGGATGTAGGAGTGGTTTACTTGCTGGTTTATTGTGCACAACTTCAAAATACTTGGCACATGCTAAGTGATATTGTCCATCCTTAGCCAAGTCCAATATTTCGGTCATATCTAAAATAAATCAATATAAAATTTAAACGTAAGAGAACATTCCCGGCGTTTTTACAACAATAACAAAATCAATGATCTTACTGGAGGCGAATACACCGCAGCTAGTTAACTTTTGGCAAAGCGAATCGCGATCCATATGTCTGAAAGGACATCCGTGGTACTCCCCGGGCCCGACAGAGCTAGATATAATTTTTTGACAACCGTATGGAGTGTAATTCGTTCGCTTTCCCTCTTTACCGAAATAGTGCCTAATGGAGTACGCATATTGTCTTTCAAATGCAACCCCGTCTGTCTTTTTTGAGAATGCATCTCTCCAAAAACGAAGAGCATCTTCTAAAGTCACACCTATACCTTTCAGGAATAACCCATACTGCATACGCCCAGAGTTCTTTAAATGGTTGTTGGCGTACAGCGCCTCGTGAAGTGTTCTCATACATAACGGAAATGACGTTTTCGACAACTGAAATTTTAGAATAGATTTCGAATAAGATGAGCTTGAGAAAATACAATTTCTAGCTAAAATAATAATTGATTTTTACATCATTCAGTTTGTCGATGGGCGTGGTTGTGGTTGACCATACAACACGTGCCATTCCAGAGAAGGCTGAAGGAAGACCTGTTAAGTATTTGGTCAATCTTTCATCATCAGATATATTATCGAACAGAATTCTTGCACTCTGCAAAATAGAGAAGTTAATTGAACGTGATTTTTAATCTTCTTTTGAAACTGATCAAAATGACATGTACCTCTAATCCTGTAATTAGATTTTCTTTAAAATAGGAAACAAACACGGAGCTTATATCCATATGAGTAATATAAGCCATCCCAGCTTTGAGGTACACTTTACGTCCTCTGACCAAGTCAATGACTTTCTCGAAAGGCACTTTATAAACGTCGGCGATATCAATATTTGTAACTTTCCCGCATGATAAACTGAGCTCCTCTTTCAGCTCAGATTTCTCATCTGGTGAAATCTAAAGAAACATTAATGATCAGATTATAACACATACGTTACATTATAATCTCTTAAGTAAATAAGTTTAATAAAACGTACGGGCACGCAATTCAGGTTGTTGATACTCAACAGGTGCTCAATGCCCTTCTTATCTAACGAGCTAAATCTCAATTTGAAGAATTCCACTTCCTGATTGACAAACCACTTGGTTTGCTCGACGTCGTGGCAATACACCAGTCTCAAAATAAAATGCGATATGTGATCTTTTCTCCTGGTCTGTGAATGCTCCTCCGACTGCGGATTGGATCCATCGGCATACAGCAGATTCGCATAGTACTTCAGTCCGTCGGATTTTAGAGAATCACAAAAGGCTTTTTTGCGTTCCTCGAGCGTTTTCAGATCGCCTCTGCAATTCGTCGTCTCCACCAACCGTAACGCTGCAACAAAATTCATCGTGTACATCAACAAATTGGGTAATTTTTTTTTTGTTTTAACCGGGGGTTCCAGTTTTTTGACACAAATCTCCTCAGACCTTCCTCTTTGTCTTTACGTTCAAATCACTTTATTAATCTTTCTAATGAATTTGTACAGAGACAAAGAGGGTCCTGGAAGGTTACCTTTCAACCTATCGAATCCCAGTTCCTGAAACTCCTCCAGCGACATTTCACCGACCGGGGGCACATCGTACATCTGTATGTCGTGAGGATAATCGTTACTGAGCCCACTCACGTCCGCGACGGCCGTGTAACGCCGGCGTGCCTTGTATTCCATCCTCCAAATCTACGATGATCTACTTCTGGCTGCACAGCGAAGCTGAAGGCTGAAGGTAAACGATGTAAACATGAAATGCGCGCACGTGGAGAACGCTGCGCGTTTTACGTAGCGTTTGTTATCTCCCGATCTTCGCGATACATCGGCTACGCGCGACGAACAACGGGAAATGCAAGAAAGCAAAATAATTCCATGAGTGATGAAAATCACTCCCGCATGCACCTCCACGCCATGACACTGATGCTTTCCCGCTGTTTCCCGCCCTTTTCCCCCGCCACGTGACACGTGGTCGCCCACGTGACTCAAGAATCTGTCATTTAAATAGAATATTCAAAAGACAATCAATCAATAATCAGTCATTTGGATATTTCTTTCTGAATCTTTTAATTCTTGAAAGATTAGTGATTTGTACTTATATTTTCGAGTGGGATTTGTTTTTAATATTCTTTTATCGACAGTGCAAATAGTGAGCCTTGTGTAGTAGACGCTAGATGTTGCCTCACAACTCGTTATCGTCGCTATTCAACCTTTTTTCTTTTCGTTTTTCATTTCCACGTACAATGATACGCTTTTTCATGATCACCTTCTGTTGATCATGCTAAAAAAGCTACGCATAAATAATGTTCATTATACGACGATAACGTTTATTGCACGTCTAAAGCCCCTTGCACAATAGGCGATAGCGATAGCAATATTATAGCGACAGCGACAAAGTTGCTGACAAAGCTACAGCTTTGTCGGCACCTTTGTCGCTGTCGCTATCGCCTATTGTGCAAGGGGCTTACTGTTTATTTAGTTTATTATGCATCGATAAATTGTAATAAATACAGAACTGAAGTATGTTTGTAGCTGAAATCTTCCTCTCAAATTGTGATCTTTATTTCGCGTCGGCGTGGTTTTTTTTTATAATTTTATAATAAGTATTAATTACAATTTAAAAATTGTTGTTTTCCATTACATACTTTTCTCGAGCCTCTGTATGCCGAATTTAACACAGGAAACGCTTATTTAAGAAAGAACTTTATTTTCTCAAACGCAAATGAATTGTTCGGCAAAAATTGTTAGACGATAAACAACAGTGATAAGAAGTACGTAGTAACGAAATGTTTTTAGACATTATATTAATGCTATTGAGTCTGTCCTTTTTTGCAATTTTGGGAGAAATGAGCATTTTATAATAATGTCTTTACTAAAACAATCGATTCGACTCTACTTTCTTTCTCTTCTCGAAATACAGAGACATGCGTCAGTTAAGAGATTTAGTCTCCGTTGCTTCGCTTTTTTTATGACTTTTTAAAATCATAAATGGAAAGTTCGAAATATAGCACGGCTAAGATGGACAGATCCAAAAACACACGCATGTCTTGCTTTATTTTGACGTGCTCCATCCGCCAACGAGTCTGCGCGCTGCAGGAGATTTCTGTTTGGCTTTTCCCGGCAGCGACGGATACACCTATTCCCGTCAGTCACGTGGTGAACTTTCGCGGGTAAGGATCGCGTTCCCTTGTCGGCCTTTTTTTTCTCGGTGATGTAAAAAAAACTAACACCTAAGAGAAAAAGAGAGAGAAAGGGAGAGAAGAAGCATTTGGAATCGTCACGGTTCAAGGTGCATTTTCAAGATCGTCGCCAAAGGTAATTGTTCCTGTCGAAATCTCGATCGAAATTGTCATATTAAATGCGGCTGAAAATTTTTTACTTATTTACGTATATATTTACGATATTCAATTGCTCTGGCAACGAGGAAGGAGTTGTCAAAATCGAAATTTTGCCATTCGAATTTTTTCTGTCAATCATCATCGAGTTAATCTGTGACATAAAGAGTAAATTCGATTGTAAGATAACTCGTCACACTTGACATAAGTGCATTATTAATTTGAAAGGCGAGAACATACTGCGAAAGTAGAGATATACGGTCGATATCGTGCAACATAGAGTTTACATTTGGAATCTACCGCAGTCTCAATGCTCAGGGAACGCAGTCTCAATGTTCAATGATACTTCGTTACTGTATTAAATAATGCAATATGCATCGATGCTCACCTGACGACGGTGACATATTCTACCTCGTGCGACTTCTTGCGGATCGACATAGAAAATCTACAGGAGAAAGCAGGGTTGTCGACTTGTCGCTATAACTCTTTACTTCTATTAACATACCGTTTTGGATCTGGAATGCTCGTTGAACGTTTGTATTCTCCGAGTTTTCCATTCTATTCGCAGAAAATTTGGTTTTATATGAATTTCATGCTCGTTTAAACACTGTTAAATATCAAAGGATGAAATTTAAACCAATACTTTTTGAGTTAAACAACATTTTGTTCTTTTTAATAACTACCATGTGCGTCGAAATTTATTATTTTAATTCTATTGGTTTAGTTAAATTAACAATGTTTAAATTACATTAATGACATATTCAGTAGGAGCAATGGCGATCTATAAGAATGGTTAAAAACTACTCAAATTATATTCAATTTGTATAATTTTTAATCATACCTACTTTAATTTTTTGCATTATACAATTATAACTTCGAGTGACGTAATTTCTTTCTTGTGATTGCATAAATGTATAATGCAAGAAATTAAAGTAGATTATATCTTATCTATTACATATTTTATTTTCCAAGTCTAATCTCTTAATTAGACGCAGTTGGAATTTTAAGAACAACCGTGTGTAACCTTTAGCGAGAAATTTTCGTAATGTTGTGCTCCATCAGAAACTAGATAAAAGCGTTCGCGTGTCAGGCAAAAATTAATATCATATAATAACTTAGTGCATACACACAAATTGTACAAACGAGCGATTTTCATTTATTTTCGATGAGTTTCGCAAATCTATTCGAAGACGGGAGATTGGGCTTCACTTACAAGTTTCCGAACGCACTCCCAGGGGGTTGATAGATGATTTTCATATTTCCGGAAGTAGGGCGCTATTTACTTCTCTTAGAAGCGTAAAGGAGAATATCTGAGCTCACGGTCTCTCGGGACGGCGGTGGTTTATCTCGAAAGATGAAATTTTAAAGAGTCGGAAACCTCTTGTAATGAAGTAGAGTAGCCAACTGTTATGCTTGAAACTTGAAACAACGACTTTGTTTCGCCAAATCTTAATCTCTTTAAAGAAATCTTTGAAGAAGTTTCTTGGGCGCTTAACGTTTTCCAATTGTAATGCAAATTTATACACAATCGTATTTTAATATTTGTTTTAGCGTACATTAAAAAGTATAAATATTCATAGCTCGTTACATTTTTGCATATTATTATATAAATTATGAATGAAATCATGATGTGTAATGTCGATTTATGGCACGGTTCAATCCCCTCATCAATTGTAATTAATTGATTAAATTTAATTGAGCGGAAAATTTGCGGTAATAAACTGCGGCATAGAAGTTTGTAAAACATTTAAATGTACCGATGTCACGCAGGCGTTATCAATTAGATTAATCGGCAAGTTTTCGTTAACGCGCAACCACAATTCGCGTGATGCATAGTACATTGATATGGCTCATTATTTTTTATAACATACGGTTAATATCTAACATACGATACTGCAGAATAATATGCAGTTACAAAATGCAATCTTTAACGAAGCAATTGTGGTTTTTCAATTTCTTCGTTGGCAGGATATTTGCGGACTGAGGATGAAAAGTAAGCAAATGTCCCCGGTCGGTGTAATCTCGGCGATATTACCACAATAAAACCTCTCTTTTCTATCGAAACACAAAATCGTTTTTTTACACGGGCTAGATAACATCGGCTCGAATTCAACGCGAGCGAAAAGAATTAAGCAAATAAAAACTTCTCCTTTGTGCGTTCACCGTGTGTGTTTCTCTGGGGTTCCGTCATGCGATGTGTTTATTGCGACTACTCCATCAAAGGGTAAATTTCCGCGCGACTTTCCCTCTTTTATTTATATGCCCGAAACTCTTTGAGTTCTCCAATTTGTATATTCATAAGTGCTCTTCTATTAGAATATAAAATTGGTAAAATTACTCTCTCAAACCAACAGATTGAAAAATAGTTCATTACAGATAATATTATATAATTAGTTAAGTTAGGAAAGTGTACGTTAAACATTTATCGTAAAATCGAAGTTCCTAGTAAATATATCGAAGGAAATCACTGTTTAAACAATTTCACATCTTAAACAGTCTGCAAACACGGTAGCTAATTCTCAAGTTTAGTTATCATTAAAGTTAGATTAGTTTCAACTTTAGGCAAATAATTCAGTCTATAAACCGCAGACGTGTGCGAGATATTTTGGTGCATCGTCGGGAAACTTGATGACGCAATGTGGGTGGACAGGATATTTGATGCGCGCGATCCTTTGTGGTGATCCTCGATTGAGATTAACGAACCTGACCGGTGAAACCCTAAGGGTCTTGTGACCCATCGATTGGCCCGGAATTTCCCCACGCGAACATGTAAAAGGATAAATCTCTCGGGGACGTGGAAGCTACAAAGAGAAATACATAATAATATTAAAAAAATCTAAATAAAAGAATTTTTGTTCTGCTACAACACAGTGTTTTTTGAGAGTACAAATATATAATAGTATATGTACAGATATATGTGCTTTTATACTATACGGAGGCTTAGAGGGCGAAAGAAAAGTAAAGCTAATATTTCGTGTAATCGCGGCATTAGGTAAGTTTTTCCCCTCGCCTCTTTCGCGCGACCGTTCATGGGTGAAATGTAGCTACATTTCACGGTATCCGCTTCACTTTGATACCGAAGTCCCTTTGTGGGATCTGAGTCGTTGTTAATAACTGTAAAGCGCGCGGCGTTCTATAGGGAATTTGCCAGGTTGAAACTTCGCGATGCTCGCTCGCGGAAACTTCACCGGTCGCTAGGCGAAGAGATATTGAACCCTGTGTCTCATAAAAAATGAACTCCAACCGCAATTTCGCGGAACAGACACAGCGCCAGCCACTTTCGATCAGCCGTCGAGAGAGACAATGTTATGAGCCCGGCTACTATGACCAATGACGTAGAAACGTTCGATTTTTCCGGGGAAATAAGGGCGTTTCAGGCAAGGGTTGAGACCGGTCATACTTCAGTGAAGATTTCGATGCCGCAAACTTGACTATAATATCATCGACATAATCGTATCGATATAAACGCAAATGTTGAAATAAAATATACGTTTATACCTTTGTTACATCGAGAATTGAAAATTATGAGAATTTCTTTCAATGGATTCGTATCACAACTAATTTTATCTTCATAATTATTGATTGTCACAATTATTATTCTACAGCTGCAATAGAGATTCGAGTCATAATTTTCTCACGCTGCATCTTGATATCGTCAGAAATTAATTTCTTCTCAGTTTTTATCGGCGATCACGCCGGTGAAATTGTTCGGAAATTAAATTGCATTTAAGAGCAGGTAGTTTATGCCGAGAAAGAAATCTTGGTGAATGGAAGGTTTTTAAAGCGGCCGTGATATTGAATATTACTGGTTTCAACTTTACTACATACTTTATTTTTGTTATTTCCGTTTATTAATTTATACAAGAATTACAACGCGCATAAAAATTGAAGTAATTTCTTATAAAGTTTTCAGCTTATAAATATTTTTTAACCAGGTCTACCTCTGATAAATCTATTTATAAACGTATCATACATATACTTAAATAATATGAATAGATTTAATAACATATTAAAAACATATTAAAAATATACAAAAATTTATATTTGGTTCGTCATTGATCGCTATATAGCCGCAGAGAATATTACTAACTGCAATAAAAAGAATTATTACAAAATGCGCATGTGTCAAATTAAATTTTCATAAATATTTGATTTATTACATCGATGACACTTATTCTTTCGATGACGACTTAGGCTAATCGATCAGTCATCGATTGCTTTGAAATAATAAATGTCGCAACGGATTGTTTACGCGGATATGCAGCACGTCTATGATCGAACGTCTATGCTGTCCTATCTTTACATACTTGTACTCGTTCGAGGGATTAAGTTTATTTTACGCCGGAATTCAGCAAATCTCCGTCGTGGAGATAGCGTGGAAGCAATTCGATCGGTTATGCGGACATTAATCTCACTTATTTTCTCGAATCTTTTCTGATGGCAACGTTTATATATAAAATGGAGAGGAATGAATGCGCGTTACCCTCATAGTGGATAAAAATGAACGACATTTCCATCGTATTGCACCTCGCTCTTTTGACCAAACGAGAATTCTACGAGAAAATATTATCGCTGGATTCGCGTGTAACTCAAAAATACAACTTTTCCACCTTTCTTCCCGCGTGACAGATATAACGAGCTTTAAAGAATTATTGGCGTTTGGACTTGCGTCTTCCGAACTACGGCAGGCAGCTGCTCGATGAAGGCCAAGTTTGTTTTCACAAATTCTAAAGAAACCGCGCGTTTTCACGTCGCTTCAAATTCGTTAATGGCATTCCCAAGCAAAAGATGGAAGGCACAAGTAAAGTGGAAACCACTAAAAATGCCTTTTCCCGTAACGTAAAGTTTGTTAGTGTCTCCGAAGATAACCACATTGGTTCGGCTAGTGCAACGTCGTGATAATTATGAGCGAAATTTTCCAATCTAAAATTAAATACACGCAAACCTCTTAGTCATCTTTTAGTGATATTATTCCTTAAT